TATTTAGGAGTGCATGGGAGGGCATGTTTTGCACAAGTGCACTGCACACCTCCATAAATCCTTGCCACCAGAGAGAGAGAGAGAGAGAGAGAGAGAGAGAGAGTGTATGTGGTGGGGGCAGACATGTCTAGATAGTGGTCCGCCTGGTGCCGTTGTTATTTTTTTTTCGGCGCCAGGCTAAGACCTTTTTATTCAAACAATATTTTAACAATGTCTAATATTTATATGTTTTAATTGTGCAGCCAGGGTGTTTCTGGGTTTTAATTGTATTATATTTATTTATTTATTTCTGTGAGCTGTCCTGAGGCTGTAAAGCAAGGGGACAGCATACAAAAACTTTAAATAAATAAATAAATAGTGCATTGGTTTGCTTCAGAAAGACAGTTCTGATTGCAAAAGAGCTTACAAAAGAGCTTATATATGTTGCAAAAGATTACAACATATATAAGGAACAATATGTTACCTTAATGGCATAGTCTGCAGCTATGGGACCACTATGGCTAGGAAGGGGGAGTTTTAATCCTTCTCCGCTGAACCACTTCACTCCCTAACTCTCTCCTCTCATGAAAGTGGAAGCAGATAGGAGTAATGTATTACAGGCTGCCAGGTCGTATGAACTGGTGGGGTGGTTAGCGTGTCAGACTAGCACCAGGGAGGCCCAGATTCAAATCCCTATTTTGCCATTAGGCTCACTTGATAACCTGCAGGTGAACCTACCCCATGGGGTTGTTGGGAGGATAAAATAAGGTGGGGGAGGAAGAGCCATGTAAACACAAAGATTTCTTTAACAAGAGTCGTTCTTTGACAAGTTCAGTTTGGAGTGGGCTGTGGGATGAATAGAGAAACGTCTGTTTCACTAGCGGTCTAGCAGGGGTGGTGCTGGGGAATCCAAAACTCCAATTACCAGGTCAAAGAATCTGTTGCTTTCTTTGGCTGAGCCAGAGGCCTGTAAACATTTCGTGGTTCTCTTTGCATTTTCCAAAAGGGCTTTATCTCAAGCGGCTTTTTGGAAGAGAGCTTGAGTGGCACTTCCAGCTCTCCCACAGCTCTGCCAGCCTGAGCCTCATTCATGTGCGTCAGACTTTGTGGTGTTGCTCTTTGGAGTATTGGGCAGCTGAAGTGATGTGGTGAAAGAAAAATGGGGGAATGGAGCCAGTTGGCTCTCTAGTTCTTACATGCTTAATAACTTCCTAGAGAAGGAAGGCATTTCTCCACCCTTCCTCCTTCATGCACTTTAAACATTTCATTCCTATTTGCTCCATAAAATAGGCTGCTGCATGTAGGAGTGCCTGAAAATTGGGGAGATTCAAGTAGTAGGAGATTCGGATATCAGCAGGCCTGGTGGAACATCAAGGTTTGCAGGAGAATAAACTTTTTAAGGGGGTGACAGGAAACCCAGAGATGGAGGGATCGAAATCAGCCTACTGAGGACTTGCTTAATGATGAAGTCAAAGTACTGAGAACATGCTTAGTGATGCTGACAGGCCGTTGGAAGCTACACACTTATATAACACTGACAGAGTGTAATACATCTGACTTTTGTCTCAAATCCTGGCTTGTCAAAGTAGTGGACCATTCACTGCTTTAGGTATTCTGTCAATTTTTAAAGTTGTTTTTGATACCCATATTTCTCTATCCTTTATCTTCAAGGTGCATTTCTTCAAGCTAAATAAATAATTTCCCAATTATGCAGTGACGTCATGTATGACTGCACCACTCCAGATTTCACAAGAGAGGTTTCATATCTAATTGTGGTGTCCATGGGGGCCTTTTGACATCTCAGGACCCAGGGGAAAATTCATAAAGTGGATTAATTGGAGATTATATAACTTTAGCCTTTCAATAAATCTATATGGATCACAATAAATAAGATGCTCGGACACAATCTATTGCAGAATTATTGAGCAGTGGCAACTTTCAGAAACCATGAAGAGTAGATTTGGTTAAGAAAATTTGGTGGGTGACCTACTTATCATTCTTCCATTTTCCAAGCTCTACTAAACTAATTTCCCAGAGCATTGTCATATCCTTCAACTTGTTGCAAAGGATGATGGCATTAATGTGTGGTGAAAGATAAGTTGGTTAGACTTCTACTAGATCACATAAACAAGAGGTTAGTTTTATAACCAACACAGAGAAATAAATTGAAGTCCAAATAATTGTAGATTACTTGGCTACAAGATAGCATCAGTGTGAGACAGTAGTTCCTGATGGCCATATTTATCTTCTTTGCATGGTGAAGGAGCATTTCTTGAAGCTAAATCCATCCTTTTCTGACAGGGTACAGTCATGCCAGAAGAACCTCAGAGAGTGTTTCAGATGGAGGATCCCTAGTATTACCAAGTCATTGCACAGCTATTCTATTTTCTCTTCCTTAATAAACTCTCTAAAGAGAAAAAAAGATGAAAGCAGCAATAGAGAAACATGGAGGGATTACAAAGGGAGGTGGACATAATCTGGATCCATGGCAATGCTGCTAATTAGAATGTTTTCACAAAGGTCTCATTTGGAAGATAGATATCTGAGAGCATAGTTTATGCTGACTCCAGCCTGAAGACCAGTCAACACCAGACATGCTTAGGCTGTACACTTTGAGGGAAACCTGGCTGTAGGCAGCCCACACGCAACATATGATCCCAGAACAGCCTTGTCCGTCATAGCATCCTCCAGACATTTTGAACAACCCCCAGCTTTCCTGACCAGTGACCATCCTGGCTGGGGCTGATGAAAGCTGAAATCCACAACATCTGGGAGGCACCAGGTAGGAGGAGGGTGATCTCGAGGGTAAGGCAAGAGAGACAGCCAAGGTCCGATGATTTCCTAGTGTCTGGGAAATGAAAGCGAATAGTAATTACATGGCTATGTGAAGTTGACTGCTACAAGAAAGCATGAAGAATTCCACCATTTAAGCATGTCCAGTTAACAGGCTAGCTGAGCATTAACAGGCCACATGGTGCAAGTGAACTTTTAGCAATAAATGTTTCAGATATCTTTATTTAAGTATATGAAACAATTGTCCAAGCAAGCATATTTCAAAATACATTATTGTAATATTATATACGTATCATAAAAACAATTGTGTTATAATAGCATTTTTCCAAAACTATGTTTTTCTTTTGAACTTGTTACTATTGTTTCCAAGCCCTTAGATAGGTATAAAAACTTTTAAAAAGTCTCTCTGTGTGTCTGTGTGTGTGTGTGAAAGTGAGAGAGAGAGAGAGAGGGAGAGGGAGAGGGAGAGGGAGGGAAGGAGAGACTCAAAATAGCATTCTAGGGAAGAGTATGTTGTTATTAAATGTATAGACTGATCATCTGCCTTGGTGAATAAATCATGGTTTCTCCTTGCTAAACTTGCACGGCACACAGAGAAAAAAAAACTTGGTGCTTTGTTATAGTTTATTTTTCAAAGACTGGAACAAGGAACTAATGAGCACGAGGCAAGGACTTTCCTTAAGCCAGCGTTGTGGTTCCCATTAAGCTTCTTGATTTGCTCTACCAAAACAAATATGAGATGATCTAGACCAATGCTGAATCTTTTCCCATCTACTTCCTGCTCTCCTTTGGATGGGCAGCCATTGTCTCCTCAACTATAGCATAGGCATTTGCACACACCAAGAGGCGACCTGACTTTCCCCAACACAGTACCTGCAAGATGGACTGGAGTACCATTTCCTAAGGCCATGCTGGCTGGGGAGGATGGGAGATCAAGTCTAACACATCTGGAAGACACCAGTTTGGGAGAGCTGCTGACTTGGAGAGTTGTGGAGAACTCCTGCACAGGCCTGAATATTTGGAATGGGGTTCAGCACAGGCACAAACAGGAGCGTATGCAGCCTCACCAGCCATGCCATCGTTGCACTGCAACAGCCATTGCAAACACTGCCTGCTACTGCTGTACAATAGTTTTCTCTGTATGAAAAACTTTAAAACAGAATCCACCAGGTTTTCTACTCTAGCATTTTCTAGGTTAAAAATGAACAGCATTTAATTTTCCATCATGAGTGTGAAACCTAGGTCAGTAAAAGAATAAATAACTTTGCTGAAGCAACTATATTATCCTGCTTCAGCCACAATTCTAAGGCACCACACAGACTTTGCAATCTGTTGGCTCTAACCTTCCCCCCTTGGAAGGAGAGAGCTACCCTTCAGATGCCAGCTGCCTTCCCAGCTGCTGTGGAAACCGCTGCAGCCTCTTCTTTTCTGATGTGGGAACTCAGACTTCGGAGAGGAATGTGTCAAGAGGTGTGCTTGGAGTTCCACAGTCTCACAATCCCTGTACCCTCCACCCCTCCAAACTGGCAGCAGATCTTCCTGAAGCTGTTGTATACTAATTCCCGCCCAATGAAACCAGTGCATGGAGAATCATATCAAAGGGGTGAAAAGGCCTTGGGGCAAGGGGAGGGGGAAGTGAAAATGCTGCTCTTCCCTTGGTCCCTTCTGCCCTTCCAGCAGGGCTTTGAATATAGCAAGTCAGCCACCTTCGGGTTTTTCCAGCTTGGCAAATATAATGGCTCTGTTGCAGAATCAAACTATGTCCAATAAATATTTGGAACTAAATGTTCAATATAGCAAATCTCACATGAGTCAACCGAAGTCCAATGTATCAGCTATGAAAGTAGATCAAGAGAGGCTGTAGCAAAATGGAAGGGTACATTATGTGCATGTGGAAGGTCCCAGGTTCCATTTTCTCCAGGTATGGCTCCTACCTAATACCTAGGCAGCTGCTGCCAGTCAGAGTCAATAATATTGAGTGAAATGGCCTGACAATCTGACTCAGTACAAGCCTCCTTTTTATGCTTCCTAGGAGACATTCAGCTCAACTACGGCATCTATGCAAAAATAGCTTCACAATAAAATAAAAGTGATTAATGATGCTTTCTAATAAAGAGATGAATATACTCAACATCACAGCTTTTTAGCTAAGACTTCTGCCTTTCCAATCTCAGAAAAGGAATCCATGGAATATAAAATATTGGTTATAGATTATGATGGGTGAGAGGTCAAACGTTGCTTTGCTGCAACATCATTGTCCTCCGCTCTCGCTCTCGCTGATCTTCCTTTCTATATTGTTCTTCTAGCTTCTGCTTTTCAGAGTCCGTGCTGTACAAGGTACAGTCTGCACTTCTTCTAATCACCTCAAATTGACTAAAATCTGCAACATATTTCCCATTCTGAGACAGAGAAATCACGGGCATGAACTCAAAGCCCCAGAAGATCTCCTCTGGAACATACGATGTTCTGCTCTGGCAGACTGCACTCGTTGATTCAACAGTGGCATTCAGGAGGACCACAAGCTCAAAATCTTTCTCTTTCAGGTTCTGAGGTGTAAGATCTCTGAGAGGACTGCTCTCATCCAATATGTGGTAAAAAGTTAAAGGTAAGATCAAGAAAGGGCTTTCTGATGAAGAGTCAACATGGAATTTGACACTGACTTGATTAAGCAGAATCCTCTCTCCTTCTTTGGTTTCATAGGTCTGGAGAAGTTTTCCAGTCAGCTGGCACTGGATCAAGAGGCTCTTCCTCATGTTTGCCACTCGGATCACAAGGCAAAGGTGTCCATTGTGCTTGGTGATGACTGCACAATGGCTGAATTTAATGGTTTCTGCCCTTTTTTTGGGTCTAGCGATTTTGGCCAGGAAGGTTCCTGTGATGAAGATCTCAATCAATGTTGTGACAACCAACTGAGCAACCAAGAGGAAAATGGCATGGGGACATTCCTCAGTGATAAAACGGAAGCCATAGCCAATGGTTGTCTGGGACTCCAAAGAGAAGAGAAATGCCCCCGTCAGTGAGTTAACATTTGTCACACAGGGGACATGTTTGCGAGCGAATTTGCCCCCTTCCAAATCTCCATGCAGAAATGCCATAGCATAGTAAATGACCCCAAAAAGGAACCAGGTCATGACAAAAGTAGCAGCAAACAATGTGAGTTTGTATCTCCACTTCATGTCAATTACAGTGGTCCACAGATCCTGAAGATAAAGCAGGTAAATGCCATCAACTTTGTCAATTCTCACATTGCTGTGACCACTTTTGGACATCACCCGTGGTTTGCTTCTCTTCAGCTTGGTGGTGCTGTTCACGAGTGGGGTTTGAGACATATTGATCTGTGTAGCTTCCATTGTCAGCACGTCAGACCTAAAGAGAGGAGCAACAGAAATACAATAAAATAGGTTCCATATTTAAATTGCCAGATTGTGATTAAACTGCATTTGTATAGGCACAAGCCTGCTACATTTAAAAGCTTTCTGCAGCAGCATGCAAGGTGACACCAGTTAACCCTAGGTTAATTTCCTAAATAGGAAGTATTTGTCAATATAAATGCCTTGTTTCAGAGTCTGAATAATAATTTTACCAAATCAATCCTACATGGCATTCAGATATTTTTTCATATAATTTATGTATTAAATTCTCTTTTCAGCTAATGAACTAAATCAGATCCAGATACCCAGAAGAGGAATATTTCATTAAGGTTAGAGCTGACTTTGACCCTCCAAATCCATCCTGTCTCCCTTGGAAATGCTGGTGCATTTTCAGTTGTGATTTTCACAAGTGAAGTCCCCATTCAGCATGTACCTGGATGGAAGAAGGAAAAGGAAAGCAAGCAAAATTGTGAGCACATTGAAAAAGGGGGAGTTTGAGGAAGAAGTATTTGCACCTGATGCTGTTCAAGGCTGTTCACATCATGGGTCTCTCCAGTTGTTTCAACTAGTCAGTGGAAAACCAGGAGGTCATTCACAAATTCAGCTTTCAAGCACTACAGCCCTGCCCTACTCAACCACGTAAGGCATTGGGCCACACTGCCTCTTTCACAGTAGAAGTTTGTTTATTGTGCATCCCTGTTCAGTCCGGATGGAGATTAAGCATGTCCAAGACTGAACAAAGCACACCAAGAGCAGGAGGAATCTGTCTTTGCCGGCTTGATGGGACAAACACACAAAAAAAGACACCATTTCCAGGACCAGACAGTGGTTACGTCGTGCAGGCCAAAGCAAGTTAGCAGGAGTTTCCAATAACAAAACTTCCTGCTTTAAAAACAAAACAAATCATCAGCACGCCCCTCACCCCCAGTCCTTTGTTCTCTGGCAGTTCATGATATTAGCATTGTTTTGTTCCATTGTTGGCTTAAAAAGAGAGCTTTGAGAAGTGGTTCATTTTTATGAACTGGGGTGGGCGGTGGGAGAATCTCCCTCGTAACTATTTAAAAGAAGATTTCTGGAAGCCAAGCCATCCTTGTAGTAGGAAAGTGTGTCAGCCCAGGATAGCAACATAATTATTCACTAATGCAACTTTCCTGTTTTGTCAGTAGAAGAATATGCATGTTTACACCCGTAGCTGAGTAACTGCTAGCAGGCTGAAGGTAAATTGATGTTTCTTTTTATTTCCTTCAAGCAGCTCACAGACAATAACTCTTCCAAAAGAAGAAGGCGCACTATACAGAGGATGCCTGTAAAAGAAATTTTGTGTTCCTGTAAAGCCACCATCACCGAACACACACATACCATGCATCATATCCAGATAACAAACAGGAAAATGAGACTTTTTAAAGCCCCAGTGATGCAGACAAGAACAATAAAGGAAGGGGGAGGGCAACCAAGTAAAATAAAGCTGTTTAGACAAACTAAGCAATCAGACAAGTGAGCAAGGAAATGCAGGGAAAATAATGAAATCATCATCCCTGAAAATTCAGGGCACAATGAATTGGCAGAATCCACTCTATATACTTGACTCTGAAAAAAGAAAGGCTATTGATAGTTTTTAAAGAAAACTAAGACAGGACCATGCCAATGATGAACTTGCTCTACCTTAGACTCCATATTCAGCGTAAGGCCCTGCTATAAGCTTCACCCAATGTTGCTATATGATGACTCTCACTGGGCAGACCATTGGGCTGGTGAGAATGATAGGAGTTGTAGTGCAGCATCAGGTTAAGGAATACTGTTCTGGCTATGTTCTCTCATGCTCAAATGGCACCTTTGTGTTTGTCATCAGGGCTGTTCCCTGGAAGGAGGCAGGAGATACATCTGTATGTGTAGAAAATGAATGGTGGAACTTTTCCATATAAGGTGGGGCGGACAAACAAGGTCTCTCTGCCCATTAGAAGCATGAGAAATTGCTGGACTGACTGACTGCCTGCACTTGCACAAACCCAAGAGTTGCTTGATAAGAGCAAGCCCAAAGTAGCAATCTTTGTTGCTTTTGTCTTTCCTGTGCTGCTCTTGGAATGTTTTCAAAACACAGCACAAGAGTTACTGGAGTGCAAGCATCCCTGTGTATGGCATAAGCAGCCTGTGCTTACACAGCACGGGTAAATCCACTCATTAGTAGGGATGTGTAGATTTTCTTAAATCTCTTCTGTCCTTGCTTCACAGATTGCCAGGAAACTTTCATTCCATTGTCCCTTCCTTGTAAGAATTTCGTTCTTGTGCAAGCGCAGATTAGCACTAATACACATTAGTGTGAGTGCACATTTGTGCAAGTGAAATGCAAGTGATTAGTGCAAGTGAAAATTTGCACAAAGCTGCCCCACCCATAAAAACAGGAAAATGGCCCGCAAGTCCATGAAATCTGTGCAACTCGTCATCCACAGATCAGATTCAATGAAATCTAAAAGCACTTGATTCCATTGTGGATTTGTATGGTATCCCTCCTCATGAAGAGGGCTCCAGTTTAAAGGTGGATGTGGGGTTGGGAAGACAGGCCTTTTTCAAACTTTGGGATGCAGTTCTAGACCAGAAGCCCTGTGATGCTCCAAGCTCCTTCCAGTAGTTCTAAAGGGCTGGCAAGGAGAGCTGTTGGCAGAAATGGACTTGATTCCACTGTGGCCTTAACTAAGGGTAGCCAGTATCCTCTTTTATAAAGGACAGAATCCATTATATGAATGGTTTCCAGAGAACCATTCTCTACTTGAAGTTGTCCTCAATTTGAAGGACTGCCCTGATAAAAATAAAGAACCACCAGAACTTAAAGATAAAGAACTATCAGAACCGTTACCCATCAACAGTTTGCCCCTGAGGAGCAGAAGGATCAGTCAATGTGGTGTTGTGGTTAAGAGTGTGGGACCGGGATTCGGGAGATCTGGGTTCCAGTCCCCACTCAGCCATGGAGCTGAGTGAGTGGCTTTGGGCCAGCCACAGACTCTCAACCCAACCTCACCAGGCTGTTGTGAGAATAAGATTGAAAGGAGGAGGAGAATCAAGCCACCTTGAGTTTCTTGAAAGGAAAAAAAGGCAATACAAAATAAATAAGCAAACAAGGCACCTGGTCACAATTTTCCAGGCTATGGAAACAAGTGCTGCATTTTTATTTAAGTTATAACAGTTTCTAAATGTGCATCTGTACCTATAAATTAGCATTGGCAAATGTTATGCAAACCACCACCCTCTTTTGTCTTCTTTTTTTGTTGATGGTAAGAAACCTCCCTGATCTCCACAGCACTCCGGGTGCCTTGGTTACACCATTTCCAAACCACCTACAGAGTTCCAGCTTACAACATTTGAGCTGAAAAGTGATCTGAGATGGCCATGCAACTCAAGTTGTCTGCCCCGCTGCAAACATTAAAGGCTAGCTGCCTGCCTGGCTTTTCATTACACTTGCCAGGACCACACTCACCTTTTCAAACCTAAGCAGTGGAATTGTTCATCCTTTTGAACTATCTGAACTGTCCTGAAGAGCTCCTGCATGTCAATATTTTCCATTACACCACAGTTGGAACACAACTCCAGCTTGCATTAGAATCCCTCTGCGCAAGTATAGAAGAACACACCCATGTGCATTTTTTAAAAATAAACTCTTATGTTACCCAAGAAAGATATGCCCCTCAAGAGGAAGGAATTGCTAGACCTGAGGAGCAACCAGCAAGAGTGCTTCTCCATGTGCCCACCCCCCCCCACCCCCCGCTTGAACTTTTCTTCTCAAGTGTTACCAGAGACAGTCTTAACAGATCTGGTCAGGATACAGAAAAGATTGACCCTTTAGGGCTTCACCATGTCAAATTAGCTCACATTCATTGCCGGGGTATCTAATGAACTGGGCGTGGGTTTATGAATTTCCAAGGAAAGGCACAATATTTTGCCTAGATGCCTCCTTTGATGTTCTAGCTTCAGGCTCTCCCTTACAATGAGCAGAATCCCAAGCATTATCAGTGTATCCCTGTGTGACCTTGGAGGATATCAGTCCCACTTTCTGTCACTCTTGCAATTGTCTCTTGGCTCCAGTGATTTTTCATTTTCTCACTGTATCCCAAGGCAGTGTCTCCTCTGCTATCAAGGTTATAAAGCTAGGCATTTCTGGATCTTGACTTAACAAATATTAAATATTAGAATAGCATCTCACCAGTCCTTGGTGCCTTCCTCTCTCCATTTGTGTTTCTTTATTAGGTAACATTCATGTATCAGTTTAGTCACTTCCTTTCATATCCTGGAATGGATCCCATCCGATCCTGGCTTTTCCCTCCCGCCTGACTTCCTGCATTCTGTTTCTTTCATCAACTCTCTTCTCATGTGATCCTGAATTCCTGTTGTTTATATCTTTAAAGCCCACAGAAATTCATGTGGGATTCCTTGGATTGAAAAAGTGGTTCCTTTTTTCTTTCCTCCTCTACCATGCCTGTCAAATCAGAAGAAGTTTGCCAGGACTGCCCTGCTGCAGAGGGCCACTGCAGGCTCAATTGCATTGAAATGACGGCAGCCTAGACCAGCTACATCACAAGAAAAGACCCTGAGGCAGGCAATAAACCAATCCTCAAAGGCAATCTTCATCCCACCTCCTTCCTCTCAACTTGACTGACTTGTGCCTGGAAGCATGAAAGATTGCATTCTTTCCAAACCTCGCTTTGTTTATTCCAATGTTCTCTGTCGTAACATTGGATATTCCAATTACTCCTATAAATGTGCACTCCATTTTCTTAGTCTTGTCAATGTCACCAACACACAGTGGGCCAATGAGTTCTCCAGCCCAATTTTGAACTGAGATGGAAAAGATTGCCTTCTGCCAGACTGGAGTTCTCTGTTGCAGTCAGGCAGCAAAGACTCTCTTGTTCTTGTGTTATATGACACTGGGGGAAAGGAGTCAAGGGATCTGTCTTGTCCCTAACCACCTCTTTAGATGCACATGGTATGACTCAATCAGT